AGACGGTGCGAGGGCTCAGGGAAGAATCACTTACCAGACACAAAATGTAAAGTCCTCTGGAAAGGGTGGAAGTGGGGCTAGTGTGATTGGTTGTAACTTAGTAACTAGCTCATAAAGACAGCCTAATATGGGGGAACCCGCAGTTAGCGTAATGGCTATGTAACGTGCCATCTAGAGATTGATAAAAAAAACAACATTTTAGACAAATAAAAATCTAATGGAATTTATTTAAACAAATAGAGGTCAGTTTAAATTGGGCAGTCTCCCAAAAGATGACTTCCAAGAGACTCTGACCAGCCATGTAGTCATGGGGTATATCAGCTTGCAGAAAAGGAAAGGGATGTACAGAAAAGAAAGTGAGGGAGTGAGGCAGAGAAATCATTGGACTGGTTACAACTGGATGTAGGCACTTGGAACAGTCTAAAATATGGGCTTTCTGTGATTGACTGAAGTGTGGCTAGTGTGATTGGCTGTAACTTAGTAACCAGCTCATAAAAACAGCCTAATATGTAGGATTTCGGCTTTCCCATAGGAAACCAAGTGTGAGTACAGCATCCATTTTAGGCCAATATTGTTTAGTTTAACAAGCTGTTCAATTATTGAATGTAAATAAGAAATCATAATTTTTTTTTAAATCCCCAGAATGGGGGGAAGAATGGTGGAGAATGTATTACCATGTGACCATTTCCCATGGAATAGATGCTTTCTCACCCTCTTCTCTTTCTAGTTACCTTTTTCACACTGGCAAGCACATGCACCCTTTCTCAAATTAAATACACACACACACACACACACACACACATGGAGTTTAGGCTAACAGACTGAAAATTGCAACAAGAGTGGATGATGCAGTCTTAAACATGAAGGGAGTCTGGAGGGCAGAACTCCTTCCTCTTTGGAGCTCCTTAGTCTTTTCTGTGAAGTCCCTTAACTGATCCATTGAGGACCACTCATATGATGGAGGGTCATCTGCTTTTCTCATAGGTTATAGATTTAGATAATAATCACGTCTAAAAATAACCTTCCCAGAAACATCTAGACTTATGTTGGTCTAAACACCTGGACACCATATCATAGCAGAGCCAAAGTGCCACATGATTTAGCATAACAGCATAAGTGATTTTTCTAGTGCAGAAAAATGAGTGTTTTAAAAATTTTATTATCATCTATTTAGAATTTTATTTATGTAACATTTCTGATTTCACAGGAATTATTATTTACAAGAAAGTGAAATTTAGTTAAGCTAAGCAGAGTTGATTTAAAGAAACTTACTGAATATATACAGGGTATATGTGATATATAAAGGAGTCTGATGGAGGCTATATTGAAATAATTGAGATTACAGGAATAGGTGAACAATGACAGAGAATCATGCTCCTCTGTAATCAGGAAATGTCTTGATATAAATGGGATTTAGAAGGATTATTCGTAGGGGCCATCAGGTGGCATGGTGACTGAGGTGCTGAACTCTCACATGGATGTCCAAGGTTTAAGTCCTGGGCATGGAGACTTGTTTTCTCACTTTCCCTCTCTCTTTCTCTGTCTCCTTTAGGTGAGCACACATGCCCTATAGCTAATTAAAAAAAATAATAATAATATTAAATCATCAGAACAATCATGAGCATTTTTGCATAGAAAAACAGAAAAAGTACATCATGACTTTTCCAACAACCCAATAATAATAAATAAAATTAAATAATTCTTGGAAAAAGATTAACTGTATGGAATTGAATGTCACAGACAAAACATTTAACAAAAGATAAATGTGAATATGCTCTGTCTTGCTATTGTAATAAAATGGTGCATGTTGTGGAGATGCTCTTTTGCCATATTTTCTAAATGTAATTTTTCTGATCTGTTCTTTGATTTTTGTTTGGGTTTCTCCATATTTCTGAGACAGGGTCTGAGAATATTTCCCTGCTAGCCTCAACTTCATGTCCTCCTGCCTTAACTCCCAAGTAGCAGGGATTACAGGCCTAAGGCACTAGGCAAGCTTTTTTTTTCCCCTTTAATTCTTCATGCTCTGTGTGTGTGTGTGTGTGTGTACATATATATATATATTATGTATATGTATTTTTTTTAATTTTGACAGAGTGCAAGCACTTGCCAGAGATAGAGAGATGAAAAACGAGAAAGCACCTTTCATGGGGGATGGTCATGCTGCAATCCCTTCCTTTATTCCCTGCCCCCAGTCAGGATTTTGGGCATGCACACATACCTGGTGGGTGTATAAGCTGCCGGGTCCACCAGTACTCAAACTGGGCGGTCATCCAGATAGGATCCAGTTGCCTTAACCACAACATGACCAACTTGCCTAACTCACGCTGTTTTTAACAAATAGAATTTTAAAATTTACGTAACCTGACCACTTAGTTTTTCACTTTATGATTTCGTTAAAGGATTTTAGCTTAGAAAGTCATCTTTGATAAAAATTTTAAAATGCACAGATCTATTATTCTGTTTGAGCATCTAAAAAGTATGTTTAACATTTTTTAACTTATTCATAGATTTGGAATTTCATTTTTTTATGTACCATGAAAGACAGTCTAGATCAATTTTATTTCCCTTAAATTTTCTTACCTAAGTTTATGAATACTTATTTCTGTCTGGGGATGTCAGTTTTATTTTCCAGCAAATTCTTATTTCTGTCTGGGGAAGTCAGTTTTATTTTCCAGCAAATTTCTACATGGAACTAAATCAATCTTAGAGCTAATTAGTCTGTGTCTTATTTCTATATTTCTTCTTTCTTCACCAGTGCCTTCTTTTACTTTTCATAGTTTTATAAAATATTTTGATATTTTGTTTGGTTAGTGTCAACTCAAGACTTGTTTTTTTATTTAGAATATTCTTTATTAAACTTAATTTTATCTTCTTGAGAACATCCCTCCCTATTTTCCTTTCTTTCTATTTATTGTGAGAGAGTATAGGCACTCACCATGGGGAAACAGAGACAGAAATTAAGAGAGGGAAAAAGGATCCCCCACTAAACTAAAGTGAGGCTGCAATCTCTTCTCCATTTCTTGATCCCAGTGGGATTCTGTGCACCCACACACACTCACCTAACATGCTTTCCAAGCCACTTGGGCTAGGGTTTAAACCATACCACTAACGTGGGGTGGGGTCCAGCTTTCAGATGCTTATTTATAAAAATTGGATGAGAGGAGCGCACATGACCATGAAGTAAAATACGATGTTCTGCAAGGCTAACCCATATGGAAAGTTTCCACGTTAATACCCGAAAGCTCCTGAGTATGCTTGGCACATAGGTACCCCTGGGATGCCTGAAGCTGGAGGTAAATCACAACATAAAGAACCTGCTAGGGGTGCTGTCTCTCTGTCTCAGTCTCTCTTGAGCATGAATCCAATAAATAAACTTATAAAAATGTTTTTCCTATCTATCTCATTCTATCCTGGTAAGTATCTGTACATGCAATTTCCCTGGTACTAGCTAATTCTACTTACTCTTGAATCTCTTCTGACCACAGAACACAGTAGATTGGTTCAATGACTCAGTGGAAAGGTATTCTGAATAATTCTGTCCTGAAGCCTTGACACTCCTTGGTCACATGAGACACCAAGGACTGGGGGTTCAATTCCTTAGCACACTGTGACATAGCCCTGATTATGGGAAATCATGTACCAGCCACAAAATCAATGCAGAAACTCAGTCTGTATTTATAGGGAGTTAGAAGATTTGGGGTTAAGATAATGAATAACAGACTGAATAAGATTGATTATTCAATTTGAAAACACTGAATCGATTTGTCAAAGGAGGTGTGTGAATGTAGAGACTATAATCCAAAAGTCTACTTCTCTGTCTTTTTCTCTCTCTCTCTTCCTTTCTTTTACCTTTTCCTGGAGAGTGTGTACATTCCCTGGAGAAAGGCAGAGAGAGAAAAAGAGAAGAGAGAGGTAAAATGAGAAAGCGACACCCATGGGGAATGGTCACACCACAATCACTTCTCCTGTATCTTTCCCTCTTGTCTGGATTTTGGACACACATGCACATGTGCCCAGTGTTTTTTTTTGTTTGTTTTTTTTTTTGAGTTACTGATATTTTTTTTCTTTTTTTTAAATTTTTATTATCATCATAATCTTCTTTATATTACATTGGATTACATATAACTTTACAGTGTATTACATTGTTTTTTCAAAAGAGAATTCCATGCATGTCAGTCAGTACAGAGACATTAATCTCCCCACTTCAACATGTGCCCAGTGTGTTTTAAAAGATACAGGCAAGGACTAGAACCATTCAGTCGGTCGTGAAGGATCCAACTGCCTTACGCACCATGCCACAGGCTTGTCTCCAAAAGTCTTTCAACAGAGTAAGTTTCACTAACTTCAGAAAAATTCTTGCTATAAACTTGATCTCCAGAACTCTTGAGGTTGTAATTCCATAGAATTATTTTATTCTCATTTTAGTTGTGTGAATGTTAAATAATAGATTATTAGTTCTACTCATTTCATTCAGCCTCTCTGAAGAAAATAAAGACCAATAAAAAAAAAATAAAGAAAAAAACCCTTACATTTTAACCTTCACAAAACTAAGTAAGAGTGAAAGAAATTTAAGTTTCATATATGGGATAGTGTAAGGTAAAAGCATTCTGTAGATAATATGGACATAAGGCCATATGTGATCATGAGAGTGTAAATGTCTGGGTACTAGCATCAAGTCCAGGCATTATTTCAACTTTGAAGATAGTGGAATTGGTGGGGCTCAAGTCATAGTGTCCAGACAGTAAAGAGTGACTGGTAATATTTGGGATACAGATGGAACATACAGAAAATGTCAGTAAGATCAACATACGATATGAAGAGAGGGTAGAGTTGGGAAAAGAGATGCAGGGGAAGGGAAGGGTCTGCTGGGCTGGTGGGTGGGTAGGGGTTGTGGACACACCCTTCTCTGAGGTCCCCACCCTCAACCTCAGAAACCCTTTGTGACTCTTCCATGCTCTGTGATACAGGCCTGGGACTATAGTCAAACCTTGAACCCAGAACTCAGTTGCTTCAGGCAGCCCTGAGATTCAGATGACGGAGAATATTCTCTGTTATCTGAAGAGCTATACTGAGCCAGGCCTGAGCTTGGGCTCAGTGTTCTTAGCTGTTGATCCCAAACTCACTTTTCTGAGTGTGTTGGGGTTGCTCCTTTTGTATGTGTGCTATCTGGTGTTGGCACCACTCTCTTCACCCCTTGAAAGGAATCACCATACCCAAAAGGTAAGATATCATGGATGAACCACCAAGAGATTTCCTGCTGTAGTTGTTTTTCTTCTTCATGCCTATTTTCACATTTTTAAATGAGTTTGGTTGGCTCAAGAGGTGCTCCTGAAATAGAAAGTCTGGGGAGAGGAGAGACTTCTGAGGAGAAGGCCAGGCAGAACTGGGGACTAAGTGAGGACTAAGTTTCCCATCTGAGGTGCAAAGACTGTCTGGAGTGGTCAAGGAGTTCAGGACAAAATCCCAATCACAGTGATCCTAAGGTCCTGGGTTGGCTTAGGTGGAGAGGGTGGGTTCTCTGAAGGGAACAGTCTCTCCTGGCACTTGATCATGAGTCACATTCCATGTCAGGCATCACTTAACCAAGACTTCTTTCATGTTGGGCTGATCAGTAGAGCAATGCTGAGTCTTTCAAGACTGAGCAGAGGGTGGGCCCTGTGCTCTGTCTCAGGAAACCTGGTTCTCTGAGGGAGAACAGAGGTGACCACTGACTTCAGGTTCTATGTCCTCTTTGAGCAGAAAACTTCTGACTAATAATGTCAAGTTCATACCTCAAGGATAAAATATTTAAAATATTTTCTTGAGTTTTCAATGAAGGAACAATTGAAAATAATTTATTGCCTTTCAAAATTAATAAAATAAAATTATATTGATTAAAATGAAGAGCCATATTATTCTTAGATAACTAATATGTGATCTTTTAGAGAGAGGAGTGAGAGAAGTGAGTCCTAGTCCCTCACCTGTTTTTTTTTTTCTTTTTTGTTTTTTTCTTCTCAGAGTCAAGGCAGAGTAAAGAGACGGAAAGGTGGGACATCTCAAGGTAAGTTTCTTCCTGTTTGACTTAGGTCCTCAAGTTGACCCTTCCACTCCTTTCCATGAGGTCCAAGATTCATAACCTCTGAAAATGTCAGTTGTTAGATATGGTCTCTCAGAAAATACAGGCATGGGAGGGGTTCACAGGAAGGCAGTCTAACCTGAGACACTTCTCAGAGTCCCTGCTCTGGTCAAGCCCCACGATAGAGCTGTGATGGACCTGGGCTGCCAAATAGGTGGCCATGTGAGAGGTGGAGGAAGAACTACTGGTTGGTTTGGTATCAGAATTTCTGTCTCAAGGTCAGCAGGTGTGGGTAAGGACTGGACGCTCACATGGTTGACCTCGGTTCTAGTCCAAGATCAGACAGCTTGAAACTTACGCCAGGCATCTGTGTGTGGATGCCAAAAACCTCAAGACAAGATTGGAGGAGAGGGGGATTGTGGCATGGCCCTGTCCATTGGGAGATGATTTCTCACTTTTTCTCTGTGTATTTCTAATTCTCTCTCTCTCTAGCAAATGTACATACCCTATGACAAAACTTTAAAAAAGGAAAATGTTGTCTCCTGATTTGGTGTAAGTACTCCAAACTCCTGTTTGCTCAGATTCCTCTGAGCTAACTACTGACCCTGTGCTTCTAAGAGTGACATTGAATATCATATGAGATCATGTAGGAAAAAGATTTTAGAAATGAAACCATGTATACATGTGAGCCTCACCAATGTAATTATCAGTCATTTGACATTACTGCATATTCATGGGGCTTTAAGAGTTTAATATTCCAAAGGTTGCTCATAAAGAAGCTCCAGTATGAACATTATGCTTCTAACTTTAACCATACAACCCACTGTTGTGTTTCCCAGGTCAGAGAGGCGGCTGGAGAGAAGCAGAGAAGAGGAGGCTAATTTCTATTCTCAAAAGGTGGTTAGTCTCTCCCCTTCCTACCTGGCCCCTTTTTAGCATTTTCTATGGGCTTCTGGGATCCAAAGCAGTCTGCAGCTGTCATGGAGGGGGAAACCACAGGAATGGGACTGTGCATGAAGGCAGGGGGGAGGGGCCAAAGAGTGTATTGTGAAGTCATGGTGTGGGGCCCTGTGAAAGGGTATCAGGCTCAGGTGGCCCACCCCGTAGTCCAGCAGGCCCTGCTTTGCCTGCTCTGGTCCCAGCTGCAGCTCTGTATTTCCTGTCTCCTGCAGCCCCCTGGGCCCGCATCATGATTCCATCCGCTTTCGTCAGCTGTTGTGCCCAGACCCCCTCTGTGAGGTGTGTAACAGATCGACTGCTGAGGTCAATCGCCTACTGGACCAGGCGTCCATGGAGGAGGCTGCTCCCTCTGTGTCCCTACTGGTTTCCACAACTTCTATGACTGAGTCATCCATCTTTCAGCCCTCCACACTGTCCTCAAGCCCTCCAGCAGACCTAACTGCAGGCCCTCTGTCTGAGCCTTCTTCACCTCCAGCCTCCAACCTGCCACCTACTCTGATGACACCCTCCCCTGATTCACTTTCACCCTCACCACTGAGCGATGCTGAAGCACCAGAGCCTGGGCCACCCTTAGATTCCAAATTCCCAGCAGACCGTTTCCCATCCTCACCATCCTCTTTCTCTAGAATCACTCCACGTCACACTCAGAGAGAAGATGATTCTGGTCTCCAGCCAGGAGTCACTTTTTCTCAGGTGGATGGCCCTGCAGGGTTGCCCACTTCTGTCCCAGCAGTAAGGGATCTTGACCAGTCAAGGGTCACAATTTCACAAGTGCCCTTACCTCCTGCCAAGGGCCCACTTTCCTCCAACTTGGCACAAAGTGAACTCAACCAGGAGCTTCTTACCCACCATTATTCTGAGGCTACTTTTGGGAAGACCACTACAGCCAACATGGCAGAGTCACATAACCTTTCCTTTCTGAGCCCTGATGATCTGGTGCTTCAAGGAATACAAAGCCAACAGAAAGGCAATGTCCTGATACAGAACGAGAAGGAGAAGACAACAGGCTCTTTCTCAAAACAACTTAGTCCAGACTTCCAAGTAAGTCCTTCAGGGAAAATGTCAGAGTCCTTTGCTGCTCAGCAGGACTCAGCATCCTCCCCTCCTTTAACCAGCAAAAGCAAACCAGAGCAGCTGCCTATGCCTGAGCAGTCCCCATATTTTAAGACTGATGAGGATCCCTTACAGAAAAAAGTTATCTCATCTCTGCATAGGGAATCTGAACACCCTACTGTCCCTGTCTTGGGTGACAGCTCCTCAACCTCTGTGTTCAACAGAATCTCCAAGGCTTCTATAGCCAAAGTAGCCCCAGTCATTCCCTTTTACCAACCTCAGCCCATGCCTGAGGTACCATGTTACCCCATGTGCCAAACTGTGCCACAATTTGAGTCCAAACATCTCACTCCGGCCCAATCCCAGCACCACTTTCAATGTCCAGTCTCATATCCTCCCCCTTCCACTGTATCCCAGATTAGGATCTGTGGAGTATGTTTTCACAGACCCCCAAATGAACCACAGTCTCTTTCACCAACTGAAATTGACCACCTGGAATGCAATATATTGAAGAAAGAACAGGAAAAATTGTGGGGTTTACCCTCTGTGGTCCAAAGTTCTCAGAAAGAATTTTGTCCCCCACCTCCCAAACTTCCACTGGTCAGCTACTCCTCCAAGTTCCATGTTTCAAGCTCCATTTTTCCCCTGAGCAGTGAACTTCAGAAGAAACTTGAGCACCACCTTAGGAAGAGGCTCATCCAACCCCGGTGGGGCCTGCCCCGCAGAGTCCATGAGTCTCTGTCACTGATGAATCCTCAGAGAGATACTACTGAGACATCTCAGTCAAAGAGCAGTTATGGACTCTCCTGGATCTCTTTGTTTAAGAGTCAGAGCAGCAAAGAGCTAGGTGCTTGGGGATTGAGCTGCCCGGGAAGCTCCCATGGGAAGAGCTCAGAAATGTTTCTACTAGGGAAGAACCAGGGACAGGGCTCAGAAGATAGTACAAACAAGTCTTCTTCGAGTGAATCACAGACATTTTCGGATAATAGTCTGGTATCCAATTCGGAGAAGGACCTAGAAATTCCCAGGGTGATTCTTTCAGAAAATTATTCAAGAGCCTCAGTAGTGAGCCAAAAACAGAAAGAAATTGCAAAAGCCCTGGAAGTACATCTGAGCAAGAAGTTTGAGGAAATCAGTGAGGGCCATATCCCAGACACTGTGCATAGTTCACAGCATTCCATCAAGCATGGATTGCCTCTTCTTGAACACTCCCACAGCCAAATGACCTACAGAGATTTAACTCCATCTTTGAGGGCAGACCAAAGTCTGAATACCTCTGAACATATTTCTTTTATTCCTACCAGTAAACAAGATCTGTTGGAAGCTCATATTAAACGATTTCATAAGAACATGATGCATGGCCCCCCCACAAAGGTCATTGAATCTTTTCAGATATTTAATGAAAAGGAGCAACTTAAACACTCCCACTTCCATTCCAACTTTTACTCATCAGAAAAGCTCATTTCTGGCATCGATTCCCATTCTAGCATTTTCAAGCACCGTAGAGAAAGTACTAATGCTCCTTACAGAGACAAGGTAGGAAGAACAAATGCTGTCCCCATCCTAGATGATATTCTTCATTCCACCTCAACTCTAGGAAAGGAAAGACAGGGGACCCTGCCAAAACCAGCCTCTGAGAGCAGCCAAAAGCTTAGAGAGAACATTTGGGGTGCTCAGGAGGGCAGACGGGCTTTTCCGCCTGACACACACAGCATCACGGACAAAGACAGACAGAAAGCAAAAGTCCTAGCTAATACTCACAGCCCACAGCTGCCCACAAGGCAAGCTGAAGCTAAACTTGGGACAAAAGATAAGAACTATAATTCCCTAAATATATTGAAAAAGCCTCAAGGCCAAAGGCCAAAGAATTCAGGATACTTTTTAATGTCCAGGGAGATTTTCAATTCAAAAGAACTCAGCAGTGCTCCTCAATCACGCTGTAATATATTGAAAACCTGTGGGCTGAAAGGTTCCCCAGTGATGTACAGGAACATGTGTAAAGTAGAAAATACCCAGACCACTGAAAGACCTCCTCCAGAAATGACAGATTCACAAGATGTAAACTCATCAGGCCTGACAAATCATACATCGGCAGAATTAACGTATAAATTGGAGAACAGGAAGCACAGCCAGGATTGTGGCTATCCAATGGAAATGTCCTTTGCCTCTGATAACTTGTCTTCCAAGGCTTCACTGCCTTCTACCCAAGGTGTCTCCAGTGGGAACGTCACAGCTTCCCCAGTGCTGCATGTCCACTTAGGCAACACAACAGCCTTTGTTGACCAGCCACAAGAGACTTGGGTCCCTAATTATGCCTGCTTGAACTATTATGATAAATTCAAATCAGCTGAGGTAAGAGAGAGCCCTCTGGTACCTAAAGGAGGAGAGGTGGGTGGAGGGGATGCAGCCTTAGAGACATCTGGACTTAGAAGGAAGAGCCACCTTCCTCTGTTTCCAGAGACACGAGGAGTGAGCAAATCTTTGTCAACACCATCACAGCAAAGGCAGACTCTTACTGAAAACCTCTTCAGAAAGCATATGAAGCACTTTTTGCAACATATTTGTACAAACATAAAGTACAAGGGGCAAGAACGTTCCCGGGAAGAGGGCAGCTCCCTCTTATCACCACAGAAAAGCTTGTTGGAAAGAGCAGTTGCCTTTTCAGGAGCCACCAAACCTCATAAATTAACTGCAGAAACTAGAAAGTTCCTTGAGGAGAAACAGGGGTGCAGACACAGAATTCAAAGCATCTGCCCCCAAAAGCCCCTTTCCTCCCCTGTGAAAACTGGCCAAACTCAGCACAGTACAGAACTGCACGTCCAGGAAAAGCCCACCCAGAGTTACCGCTCTGACTACAGGGCTCCTTCCTATAAAGTAACAGGTACCAAGTCCTATAGCCGAGTTGCTGCCTCTTCTGTCCTGAGTAATCCCAGTGGGACTACTCAGATTCAAAACCAAAACAGACAACCTCAGAGAGTCATGACATTAAAGGACCAGGCATTGTGTCACAGGCGCCTCCCATCAATTTCTTGTGGGGAGACCACCCCCCATCGAAATTCCAGTGCCCATCCAAGCGGGCATCAAGTCAACCAGGTGCCTTCGGGCACCTTTTCCCCTTCTGAAGACTCTCTGCCGACAAATTTGTCTCTATATTGAGAGAAGATGCCTCGCTAGCATTTCAAAGAAGTAAAATTCCTCTCCATCACTATTCCAATATTCTCATTCCTTGTTTAAAATGAAAATCTCCACCAAATAATTCATTCATAATTGAAAATATTGGTTATCCAATAAATAGTCCAATAAGAGTCATGGTATTTGTGTTCTTCGGGGGTATCTGGTTTGGGTGATCCTGAGCTTGTACTAAGGGAAATGAAGGAATTTGGCTCTTACTGGTTGCCTCTTTTGGTTAATAGAAGGAGGCCAGTCTCCAGGAGCTCTTATGGCAGAATGGATACCATATGCCCCAAAAGCTCCTCCTCTCCCTGATGAAATTTGAGGAGTCACAACTGGCTTTTTAACTGTTAGCTTAACTTAATAACATTGAATGGCAGCCTGAGTTTTTTCTCTCATTGATGTTTTCACATCCTTTACAGAGTATGGTAGACAGGTCTTCCACATATGAAAAGAGGTCAAAGACGGTTTTAGTTTTTAGAAAATTTTTTCCATGAGCAAGGGTAACACAGTTGATGAACCTTGACTGGAAGTGCTTGGGGTTATTCTAGCCATGATATTAGCCTGCTTGGGGTAGCATATTTGACCTTACAATTGAGGTTTCCAACTGAAAAGTCACCTTGTATAAGGTGTTCCTCTCCTCTGGTATATCTTCAAGCTGCTGCAATGATGATTGGCTATTTTAGAGCAAAAGGATAAATCAATTGTCAGAGGTTGGATTTGTCAGAGGTTGGATGTGACTAAACAGCACCTGCGTCTCAGGAAAAAATAAACTGAAGTTATGGAAAAATCTCAGCTAAAGTGAGTGGGAATGTAAAAAAAAAAAGATGGAATTGGAAAGAATGATGCTGTTGGTAGAACAAAGGTTAATACTGTACCATCCAAATATAATCCTGTCCTGTTCCCCATTTTTCCCAGTCAAATCTAGGCATCTTTATCCAAAGATCAGGGAATTATAGAGCTAACTGATGCCCCTTAGGCAGAAGTGTCCATGTGCCTGTTCCCTGAGTCCTAGAACAATACCTGCAAGGCTGTTGTCAGGCTCAGCGTCCCTCACTCTAGGTAAGGTGATCATGGTGCCTGTCTTCCAGCCATGCTTGATGACAACATGCAGAATCTTGCCCATAGTGATTGCACTTCTCCTGTCAGGAAGGAGGTGAAAACTCTGAGCTTCATGGGCTTAGGAAGACCATGCTACCCCTTCCCCAGTGTAAACATAGGCAGCTATTGTCCCACAGTTTAGTACTGCACAATGTACAGGGGTCTCATGAAGGACCTCTATAAAATGCTCTTTTGGGCCAATGCAGCTCACATACCAACTCTAATTACGGGTCTAGAGGGAAGGCAACTCCACTTTTACAGTCTGGGATTCAAACATTTGGGTGAGTATCCTAAAGAGCCTTTGAGATAATTTTTCCAGAAAAAATGTGTGAATAAAACTTTAACTAGGTGTCAAAATAAAAACCAAATTAAACAGACATCCACACAGTACCCTCTACGAAAATTCTATCTTCTTGTTCTACATTATACCATTGCCATGAAGTGTCTGGAGCTTAGGGTTGAAGAAAGAGTACAGATTCGGTGAAGGACCCAGGAAAGTCACTGGGTGGAGAATCCGTGGAGGACCCCAACATTCATATGGGTACACCAGTCAGTGACCTTGCCTCTCATTTCTTCAGTCCCATTTGAATGTCCTCTAGTGTCCCTAGTGTCATAGGATCCTTTCCCTCCATTTTAAGTCACTTACTTCTACACTACAGAAGTTATCGCCAGGAATACCTGTGACACCTGAAGAAATTGGCTTCACATTCTACCTTTAACTCCATCCCTCCATGTTTCTCATATATACCCTCAAATTTGTCAAATTTTCAACTTTGTCATTAGTTTTTCTATTTATTAGTGTATCCACCAAGCTTGGATTGATTGTCTTCATGATTTTTATGGTGACCAACATTTAAGAAATTCTATATCTAATGAGCTTCCCCTGGTTCCCTTTATTCCATGTATCTGGAAAATCCCATCTCTGACTTTTCCAGGAAATCTCTTCAAAAATCTGCACTTTCTTCAAACATAGGCCATCTCCACTTACTCAGCAGATGTGCTAGACTCACTGTTGACAGAGGAACTTCTAGAAGATAACTGATGGGAACATTCATCAGATAACCTTTAAAATGCTGTATTCATCACTCCTTTTTTTTTCTTTGAAAACTCCCAACCTGAAAGGAATTTTACTTCTGGCAGTATCTTTACTGAGAGAAAGCTAAACTCTAGTTAGTCTTCATGGACTGATCCAGCCTAGCCAACTCTTATGCCTCCCTCCCATGGTACTAAACAGCTCCTAATTTTAGAAGTTTTTAATTACAAAAAATATTAAACAAATAGTCACGAAGTTTTTTTTTTTAATAACTCATGTTCCTAAAACCCCACTTCCACAGTTATCATTTGGCACGTGTGATGCCCCACTTCTCTTACACAGCAATTAAAGTGCCAAAGTCCATTTCAACACCTTGAATTCCATCTTTTATAAGATATGCTACAGTCCTGTGTCAGCGCTCTTACTCCCTTTGCTGTTTACCACACGAGGAGCGTGCCGACCCCCAACACTGTACACAGCATCAGTGACTGAAAAAAATACAGGATTTTGTCATCAGTTTTTGAAAGGTTTACTAAAAACACTGAGGAGTCATTAAAGTTATTCCTTACCCTGCTCCACACACTGTGGAATGTCACGGAGAAGACTGAGTGCACGATATTGCCGTCCCTTAATTACACAGCAACTACAACATGGAAAAGAGTATATTAGCACCAAACTGTGTATGTTTTAAAAAACTGAGGTTTTGGAGGGCAGAGATTTTTCTTGTATGCTAAAAATGTGCACTGCCCAGTGACTATTATGATGACCATAATGATAAGCCACTAAAAGTGTGAGGTAAATGTTCAGGGAGTTAAACAATAACGTGAAATCTATGACACGTGTTTATGATCTCACCTCCAAAAAGTAGCTATACCATTTACTATTTTTTCTTTTGTTTCCTTGAAGCTTAAAAATATCATTTTACTTCTGAATAGATCATTAAATACAATAAGTGTTTAATAATCTACTTCAGTAGGCATTGTGTTTGGGACTGCAGGGGACAGACGTATGAGTAGAGAGAGCCTACATCCCATGCTGATAACATGTCGGTAATCAGCTCAATTTCACAAAATATTTTCCCAGTTCTGGCCATACAAAAAAGCTTCTAGTTTCATTACAGAATTGTCCTTATTTGTGCACAGCCCTGCTATGATTTCACAAAATGATCTATGGATCTTCTCATCTGAAATATGCACAGCGAGGTTAATGCTCAGTGTGCAAAGTGCCCGCGAACCTGTCTCAGAGCCTACATTGTACACTTGCACTGCTTCTGACCTTCTAATAACAGCACAAGACATTCAAATAACACCTTAAGGGAACAGCAGTTGTCATAATGGCTATGTTGCTGGACTCCCTTGTAGTCAAATGCAGTTCAAGTCTCAGACCTGGTGGCTTAAACTCACACAGGGCACGTGTGCATGCGTGCCCAAAATCCTGAGAGGAGAATGGAGGAGAAGGGATTGTGGCATGGCCATCCCCCCTGGGGGGTGATTTCTCACTTTCTGTCTCTCTGTCTTTATCTTTCTGGCAAGCGCATGCACCCTATAGCAAAAACCTCTTCCAAAAAATAAATAAATAACACCTTAAATATATAAAATTGTACTCCATTTTATAGACGTAATAAGAACATCATCTCTAACAGCAAGCATCTATTTCTTTAGGAGAAAATAATCACTGGAAACAACATATGACTTAAGCTCAGAGTTAAAATGTGTTTCCAGGGTTGATGTAATAAAAAGGTCTTAACGGAACAGACAGTTCACTAAGGCCACATGGGAGTATGCAGAAGCACAAGGAGTCCCGGGGGAGGCAGACTCAGCCAGACACAAGTTATCAGTTCTGATCTCAGCTCAGTCACAGTCTAGATACACAGCAAGTGACTCAGTTTTGCTGAACCTCAGCATTTTTATCTGCAAAGCATCACTAATAACACCTACCATGACTCATTGTAAAGACCCAGCAGAGATCAGGTAATGGGTGCTCAATGAACAGTAACTGTCTGTGCTCATCCACCATCTCCACACTGCACTGCATTCTCAGCATACAAGAATTCTCTGCCTTCCCAGCTGTTCTAATTTGTACCACACAACAGAAAACAGCACCTTGTTTTAGAGTCCTCCTAAAAAATTTTAAATACTCATTCACTGGGGTTGCTTCTGAATTAGTAGAAAATGAGAAATAGAGTCTTTTGCAAAGATAAGTCATTTCCCCCAAATGTGAATGTGGATTTTCACCTTGCTGTGATGAATAAGGTAACATCCCCTGTCTACAGCAACTTGTGTGGAAGTTATCTAGTGGCCTGTTCACCTGTTCCCCTGCAGCAGCTGTAAAGCTGAATTCGGGAAGCGGTGAAATTACAATATTTTTTTTTATTAATTTTTTTTAATTTCATTTTCTTCCATACAATCAATCACATTATTATTTGTCTTACAAAATGGACACTTCAACAGGCGAACATCTCTCCCCAGTACGGTTGATAAAACTATGAAATATCTTCAACAGACAACACCACACCTCTTTGTGCCATCAATGCTTTTCCTCCCTGTCCCTCCCCCAAATGCCCTTCCTCAGACCCTCCTCTTTCACACACACTGAAATTACAATATGTTATACTCCATAGTGGAGTACCAAGACCTGCGACCAAATACTTTTACCTATTTAAAGGGGATGATGTCTCTATATTTCCTTAGAAAGTATCAAATATCAATATAGATATATACTCAGAAAATGTTTATTAATTTATAATATGAATAAATGTTTGAGTTAAGCACATTAAAAGCTTATAGATTTTCAAGTTAATTTTTCAGTTTTGTAAATTACATTGATCACTTGAAGAATGCTGAGATTTCAGAATAAAGAAAATTTAAACATTTATTAAACTCAAGAGAGGAGCACAAAATCCCAAGAGGAGAATGGAGGAGAAGGAATTGTAGTGTGGCCATCCCCCCATGGAATGATTTCTCTCTTTCTGTTT